CAAGAGAAAAAAAAAAAAAAAAAAAAAAAAAAAAAAAAACGTAGCTGCAGCTCTGATTTCCAAAGCCCAAGCTCAATATCTCTGCCACCATTGTAGGTGCAGCCCCGGGTTCAAATGCCTAATTTTTCCAAGTTATTTTAAGACCCGTTTTCCACTTCCAAGTTACGAATACACTTCTCGTCACTCTCTTTGCTCTCAACCTCTAAACCCTTCCCATTTTCTTCTACTCTCGTTCTCATTCTCACAAGTCTCTTTGCTAATAGAAGATCCTTATACATTTCTAAAAGTAAACTTTTCTTCTCTTGTCACCTCTTTAATCATAAAAACGTAAACTTTGCCATAGATTCTTCTCCTCTTCTTCACTCTCGCATTTCTTCTTCCTCTTGGAGGATAATGGGAGCCTTCATGTTTGCGTGTCTTGGTTGTTTAATGCTGATTGAATCTGTTCTTCATGCTTGTTGTGCGTTGGTGAACGAATATGGATGAGGCTTGATTCCAAGTGTTTTTGAAAATCTTCAAATTGAGAGTTGCATGCAAAGTGTTTGTGGAAATGTTTGCAATAACACCATGTGAAATTCAACTCCTTGTTATATTTTTTGGCACATTAATCTTTGCTTTTTGAAGTGCATATCATCCACATGGTTAATTGTGCTTGAAATAAACTGAAATAGGAGGTAGCCTCTATCCATGGCCTACTTTAGAAACCTTTGCTTACCAGATTTTATGGCCTGGGGACAGTCCTATTTCCTTAGGAGGGGGTGGAGTGCAACAGTCAGGAGTTCATAGTGCACAACCTGCTGATGAGCATGAGAAGGAAGAGGAAGTTGAGAGAGATGAAGAAGCAGAGGAAGAAGAGCAAGGAGAAGAAGAGGAATACGGGAGAGATGATATCAATGCTTATGTTCATAGAAATGATGTGTGTAGTTGAGAGAAACACTCACCCAAGGAGAGAAACACTAGTGAGGAGTATTTATTCAATCACTGATTCATAGTGCTCAAGTTAGTGATTTGTTTGTGAATTCTTTGATTAAGTATGCTTGAAAGTGTGGGCACCTCAAGTGAGTAGGAATTAATTTGATGAAGGTGAATTGATTGATGATTTATTCTCTGGTTGATATAGAAGCAATTTGTGAATTGGAAAGTGTTGTCAGTTTGCAGTCACAGTGGAACCTTTGTTTGGGGACAAACAAATGAGTAAGTTGGGGGGAGTTGATAAGTGCTCAAATTGCATATTTTTATGCTTAATTTGACACTCTTTTTGGGAGAGATGTAAGTAATTTTGGTTGTGTTTGACCCTCCAAATAGATGAACTGAGATTAATCTATACGAGAAGATCATTGGTGTACCCCCTTTGTAGGTACAAGAAGTTTTTAGGAGTTAGTATCATTCTTATTGAGCCATGTGTCTTATCCTAATTTTATATTATATATATATATATATTAAGCATTTAATTTTATTTTTAATTACCCACTTGAATTTTAATTTTTAATTTAATTTGATTTAACAATCAACCTCAAATTTATTTCTCGACAATCTTAAACTATTTCCTTTTTATCTTTATTTGCACTAGTGTGAAAAAACAGGCTAGGCACTCCGTGAAGAGGAGTTTTTTTTTAGTTAAATGACGAGTAGTTTTTTTATTTTTTTATTTTTTGCGTAGTATACATTTATTTTTATGGTAATTAATTAATTAATTAAAGGTAAAATTAGAAATTAATTTTGAACACCAAAAGCTAGTATTTTTGTTATTATTTTTTTTGGTAGAAAGTATTTTTGTTATTATTAGTAGAGCTGATGTACTCTTTGTTTTTATATTTTGAGTTTGAGTTTAAAGTTTGATAATGATAGTTGATTTTTAATATTATTTTTTATTATTTAAAAATTAAAAATAAAATTATTTAAAAAATGTGGAGATAAAAAAACGGTTATAATCATATATCTTCGTTATATATACTAGTTTGCATTATATTAAAAAAAAATTTAAAAATAAAAAATTACTCGTAAAAAAATAGTTATTAAAAAATAAATAAAGAATAAAATGATTCATGAAAATAAAAAATATTTATTGTAAAAATAATTTATTAGTTTCAAATTCTTAAATTTGATTAAAAAATAATGTTTCTAATTTTTTAAAATAAAAAAATATAATGGTCCAAAAAAAGTAGAGACCAAGGTAGTTACTAAAAAGAGTATCTCCTTTATATATTAATATAGATAAATATAAATTAGTGTTTCTTGATTATTTATCTATTTTTGATTTTTTTTTAAATTTAGGTTTAAATAATTTTTTGATTTTTATAATTCATTTAATTTTTCTTTAATTTTTATAGTTTAAAATATCTCTCAGTCTTTATACATACCTTTTATTTTTTCCTTCTAGTCTGCATTTATTTTCTAAATCCAGAGAATAAAATGAGTGATCACTCCGCACATAAGTTATCATTTGATCTTCCAAAATATGAACAATGTTATACAATGCCATTCATACTTTCATCCTTTGTTCTTTCCAACTATCGATGTTCACTATTCACGTGATAAATAATTTGACTAACTTATTTATACATATGATCTGTAGATGCTCAACCCCGATATTCACATCAAATCATAGTTAATGGAATAATATTAAATGCTTTTAAATATGAAAAACATCAAATTAAGTTAAGTATCACATGATGAGTGGATCAAATTAAATATCAACTAAAATCAACAAAATATTAAATGTTCAATAATCACATCAAATTAAATTGAGTATCCCATGCAGCATGGATCAATTCAGGTAAAATATTTCTTGTTTAACTAGTGTGTTTTTATTTATTTAAGTGGGATAGATTTTGATAAAATGATACCTATATATGTTTTCTAAAAACGGAAAATGAATTATAAAAGAAGATTATGCAAATTAAAAAGTATTTTCTGAAAACAAATCATCATGTGCTCAATACAAATAATGTAAAAGCTTAAAAGAAAAAAACAAATTAGAATTAATTTTATACTTAAAATGTTAAATTTGTAGTTGAAATGGCATTAATGATGCCGCGTCGAAATAAACGGTGTAGACTTTCGCGTATCTACCCACTGTCGGCATATTTTTGCTCTATTATCATCCTTTCGTAGTCATACAGTGACCCTTAAAACTTATCCTACTTCATTTTAATACATCACCAATAAAGGCCAGTGATGACACGTTGCTTGAGAAATCAATAACATTAATTGTCAAAAATAAAAGAAATAAAACTTTAATTAGAAAAATGTTTTTTTTACCCTTATGTTCATTATATTCAAAACTTTAACTTCATTTAAAAATTGAGGCAAAAAATAATTTATAAATTTTCTCTTCTCAATTTATTAAAGTATTTTTTTTAAAAATAAAATCGTGAGAGTTTAATAAGTATAAAAGTGGGTAGTTGGAGAAAAAATAAATAAACATTAAAAATAAATACACATTATTTAATAAACATGTATTAATTATCAAGGATAAAAATAGAGAAAAAAAATTAATAAGTCATTAATTTTAGTAAAATAACAATGAAAAAAAATAAAAATTTTTGACAAAATAACTATAGAAAAAAAACGAAAAGAGTATCTTTTAAAAAATAGAATCAGAGACAAAGTAATATATATACCTCCAATTTCAACAAACATATGATGGAAATTAACACCTTGTGCCGGTAGCTAGTGGGTTGGGGTTGGTCTGGTCCCATTGGGGGGTTCTCATTTCTCCCTAGTTTACTTTTGTACCTCATGAATAAGACTATAATCCCCTTAATTTGAAAAGATTATAAAATAAGTTACTTTATTAAAAATATTTATTATATATATTTATTATATATTTTTAATATAAAAAAATATAAGTTTTTTACTTTTGTTGTGAATCTGAACAACAGTCTTTCTCAAAACTAATGCTAATAAAATCCTTAAGATTAAATGATTTGTCATCATATTACTGATTACGGCATAAATATTTTACTTTATACGGAAGGATCGAGATAGTGGTTAAATATTCAACATTCGGAGGATTTAATTAATGAAAAATTCTTTGTTTGACTTCTATAATGTGTAAAATTTGTTTATTAGTAATAATTATAGTATTATGAGCAAGATTAATCTTTAATTTAGTAGATTAAGAATAATTATGACAAAAAAAATGATGTTTTTTTCCTTGCCCGCGAATGGTTTAAAGGTTCGAGTTGTTCCTAAGATAACATATGCCTCCTCAAATTTTATTAAATATTTTGATCATTAAAAAAGTTAATGTTAAATTAAACTATATTTTAATATAATAAATTTTGTATATATCATTTTACTTTTATTTGATTATTTCGAGTATCTTTAGGATACCAGTTAATGCTTTCCTTTTCTATTGGGGCTGGAATTCTAGTGATTCTGACATTGTTGTCCCCAGGTGTTATCAACTCCATTCATTCAATTAAAACCATAAAAATAAAGGGCTCACTTACATGTAGGTTAACTATGGCCAATTTATCTAATGCATTGAGTGCTTTAAATGCTTTATTTATTATGTGCCTAAACGATTACCAACTACAAAAAACCACACAAGTTTAGAACTTACCAAGAAATGTTTAGGATTAACTTAACCAGAACTTGAGAGACTTCAACAACACACAAATTACAAAGGTCCTTTTTCCCCTGTGACAAAGACAATTTATATTTGTGCCCATCACCAATTTATGACTATTTGAAAGAAAAATGGGTTGACATTGAATTTCTAGAAAGTAGTCTCTGCCCACAATCTTTCACTAGTCACTATTCTCACTGGCCTTCAATCAAATTCTTCTTTTCACACCATATTTTACACTTGTCATGTTTTGGGTTTTGCATCTTTAAATGCCTAACCAACCCTTCTCCACTTCCACACACACCACATAGAGGAAAAGGCCAATAGTTCTTATCAGGCACATAAAGAATTGTGATGGGAAATTCCCTTATTCTCTTTATCTCTTTCTTCATCTTCAGCTTAGGACTCTTGGAGGCTCAAAAGGCTCCAGCTGTTTATGTGTTTGGAGACTCACTTGTTGATGTTGGCAACAACAATTACTTGACCCTTTCAATTGAAAAGGCAATTCTTCCTCACTATGGCATTGATTTTCCAACTAAGAAACCAAATGGCAGATTTACCAATGGCAAGAATGCTGCAGATTTAATTGGTAAGTGCTTCAAAATTCAATCTTCAAAACTTTAATACAATAAATTGTTTACCTTATGTTGGCACCTTTAAAGATGATAATCTTGATTCTTGTGAACATTATTGGTTCTATGCTATAGTCTCATCATTACCTTATATGATTCTCTATTTCAATATTAAACTTTGAGAATAACAAACTTCCTTTTTAAAGTGAGATTTTTCATCATTCAAATCTATCTATTCTCCCATGTATTTCTTAGTATTGTAATTAAGTTGTATAGTTTTTGTTTTGCATGTTTAAGTTACAACTAAGTCTTATAATTATAAAGCTTTGATTGCCTAAAATTTTGCTGTGGATTAAATATCTGCCATGGACAAAACTTTTTGAGGAAACACTTTAAGCCATATTCCTTATTTTCTGCAAAGTTTTCTCTTGTAAGAAAGTCACGGTTGATGGGATGCCTCCAAAAGCCATAAAAGGGTCATCAACATGGGAATCAGAAGCACATGTTTGTGGTGTATTGACTTCAGAGATGTATATATAATTTTTTAATATGTATGCTTTTATGTAAATAAGTCAAGTCTAATTAAGTCGTATTAATCTTGACTTGTAATTTTGAGTTGCAAAAAAAATTGATTATTTAAGTTTGGTTCATTTATTTAATTAAATTTAATTCATAAATAGTTCATGAATAATTTGACTCATTTACACTTTTATTATGATAAAGGTAATTGAATTTAACTTGTTAAAAAATAAATTTAATTCATTTAATTCACAGCTAATTCATGAATAATTTGACTCATTTATACTCCTATTATGAATAAAGGTAAAAGGAAAAGTTAAGGAAGTTTGTTTAAACAAATTAAGGTGGGAAAGAATAGATTCACATAAATTATTTTAGTTTTTATTGGGAGAACAGGGCATAGAAAACTTGTGGGGTCAAAAGTTTAAATGTCTTTGACTAATTGTTGTTCTTACTGAGGCAAGGTACTGGTAATAATAGTAATACAAATTGTATTTTGCTAATATTTGCATCAAATGAATGGTTGGTTGGCAGCTGAAAAATTGGGCCTACCCACATCACCACCTTATCTTTCCTTAGTATCTAAGGTCCACAACCACAACAACAAGAAGAATGTATCTTTCTTGGCTGGTGTTAACTTTGCCTCAGGAGGTGCTGGAATATTTAATGGATCAGATGATGGTTTTGTAAGTGCACTTATTTTTCTTAATTCTTTCTTTTTTCTTCTCTAATTTTGTTTTTATTCATTATGTGGGTCTCATTCACAAAAGATTATTGTAAAGTCTACAACCACTATGAGAGTATAAGTTAGGCATGGCAACGGAGCGAGGCGGGGCGGGTTTTACGTTCCCCGCCCCTGCTCTCGCAAATTTAAACCGCTCGTCCCCGCTCTCGATACTTGCTGGGCCTGGAGATAAAATTTGGGTCCTCATCTCCGCTCCCGGGGGTTCGGGTTTCCCTGTCCCGCCCCGCCTCCGCTCCTATTTTTTTTTTCTTTTTTCTTTTAAATAAATATGAACAATTTTAAAAAAAATAAAAAAAGTAAAATAATATAAAGTTTGACATATAAATATTTATAATTTTGATTTATATATATAAATAATTTTTTAATTATATTATTAAGTAGGGCGAGGACAGGGGTAGGTATGGGAGCGGAGGCGGGGTGGGTATTAATATTCCCGCCCCCGATTTTATCAATCGAGAATAACCCGAACCCGATAAACACAAGTTTTCCCATCCAAATCGGGACGAGTTCGGACGAGTACCCACGAGAGCAGGTTAGATTGTCATGCCTAGTATAAGTCCATGGTTTCAGCTAATTTTCATATGATAGATAATCACGATTTTTAATTTTTTGAAAAAAGTTAATAACACCCCACTATATATCACGATAAATTGGACACAATCTGATCATATTATGATTTTTCCCCATTCACTGTTTAGTGATATTTAATTTTATTTTTTAATTTACGAGAAAAATTAATAACATCAATTACATGTAATGCGAAAATTAGTTACAATTATAAACACATCGTGATCTTAAATGATACTTCATCTTGTACTTATTATAGATTCAAATTTTTAATTGATTTAATCCTTTATATAAAATCAAATCTATTATAATTTGAACTTTAAAAGAATATTTTGTTTTTATTTATTATTATGAAGTATTTTTCGTTGAATACAAGTACTAAATATATATATAAACATTCCTTTTTTTTTTTTTGAATTTTATACATTTTTAAGTTTGAATTTGATCCATAACTACTTGGTTAAGTGACATGAGTCATTTGTTACTCACCCTAACTCAAGTTGATACAAATATATTTTTATTAAATTTATTTTGTGCTCAATAAATAAATAGAATTCATTTAATGTATATCCTAAAATTATAAATAGTCTCCTATTTTTGTTTTTGAAATACAAAAACTTTAGAAATATATAATATGTGTCTCATTAATTTAGGGATAATTTTGTAAAGAAGTAAAATTTTTATAACTTTTTTTATTATTTAATTTTAGTAAATTAGTTATTTGAATCTTGGATCAGATACGAGGCACTGCAACAATTTTCCCTTGTTTACTGTTTAGTGAGTTCTACATCAAATTCATTCAAATAATAAATAACATATCAAATTACATCAGTAACATTTCTTTCCATCTAAAAAGAAAGCACTTTACCAAGAAAAGGAGAAAATAAATAAAAATAAAATGACCCTAAGTACTACACTACTAGTAGATGTTCCTCTAACTCAGAATTATAAGAAAAAAGACAAAATAAGGAAAAAATTTCCCCAACTGAGCTATCCCCTCTGGATGAACTTTTCTTGTAGAGGCAATCAATACCTTTGACAAAGCAAGTGGACTACTACTCTCAAGTGCATGAACAACTGAAACAACAAATAGGAGCATCTACTCTTGAGAAACATCTCTCAAAGTCCATCTTCATTGTGGTGATTGGTAGCAATGATATTTTTGGTTACTTTGACTCAAAGGATCTTCAAAAGAAAAACACCCCTCAGCAGTATGTGGATTCCATGGCTTCCACATTAAAGGTGCAACTACAGGTAAACACAATAGTTGTGAATAGCATGCAGCTACTTATATTATTACTTCAATTGTCAATCTTAAACTTTAGGGTACGTTAATTTGGATAAATAATTAAGATTAAATTACATTTTTAAGTCCCTATAACTATAACATCTAATTGATAATTTTAGTTCTTCAATTTTTAATTTTGTAATTTCATTTATTCAATTTTTATAAAATTTATAATTTTGATCTTCTCATTAAATGTCTATTCACTAATTATTAAAATTATAGTATTGAACATGATCTACCATTAAATAAATTACATGAAAATTCATATTTAATATATTTAGACTAAATTACGTTTTTAGTTCTCATTTTTATTCTATTTTTATTTTATTTTACCATTTTTGTGATAAAAAAAATAAGAATTAAAAATAAAATTTAGTCTAAATATTTATTATTATTTAATTTACTTAATGTAACATCATGATCAACATTATAATTTTAATTATTATCAATAAAAAAACTAAAATTATAAATTTTATAAAATTGGGTGACTAAAATTATGAAATTAAAAATTAATTGATTAAAATTGTAAAATAGATATTATAAGAGAAAGAAAGTGTATGTAATTTAGCCATATAACTTAATTAAGCATATATTCTATAAAATCTCATTACATTGATGCCTTGAGTGCTTCTGCCATAAATTGGATCTTTAGACTCAATGAAATAAACAACAAAAACCTTACTTTAATAAACTACACCAAGAGTTTTTAAATAGATTTTAAAAAGTTCATGGGAGTTCTTAACTATTTTCACAAGCTCAAATAAAGCTTCCATAACTCTTTCAAACGTGCTTGGAATTAAAAGTTAAAACGCAAAGCTTGTGTTATTTACATATACTTGCATTTTGATTTGGTAACCTTTTGGCAGAGATTATACAACAATGGGGCAAAGAAATTTGAGATTGCTGGTGTTGGTGCAATTGGGTGCTGCCCAGCATACAGGCTCAAGAACAAAACGGAATGCGTTTCAGAAACCAATTACTTGTCTCTTAAATATAATGAAGCTCTTCAATCCATGTTAAAGAAATGGAAATTGGAGAATAAGGACATAAGTTATTCCTATTTTGATACTTATGCTGCTATTCAAGACCTTGTTCACAATCCATCTTCATACGGTACCAACACATTATCCCATATCTCTTTACATTATAATTACCTTAGACATTGGGAATTAAGACACCATTATATAAACAACTTGTTTAACATAATGTGTTTAAAATACTTAATAAAAATTAGGTTTAATATGTTTGTTATCTTTTTAGGTAAATATCAAGAATTTCAGTATTAATTCCTGCAATTTTTAGTTGGTTTTGGTACTTGTAAATTTTTAAAGTTTTGAAAATAGTTTCTAGTTTCTATCATAATCTAATACTTTTTGTTAATGCATTTAACCATGTCATGTTATCTACTTATAAGATAAATACTAATTAATTGGAATTTTAAGTTGGTAGAAAAATAAGGTGATACTCCCCTACAATTCCGATCTAGAGCATTCTAATCCTCTCATTTAATAAATGACTATCAGGAATGAAAAAATCTTTTATTTTTTAAGTATACATATAAATAGCTTTAATGTTTATAGAATATAGAACATTTCTTCAAATATAGTACCTAACTAATATTTATTGATTTTTCAATAGCATTTTGTTTATTATCCTAATTTATATTATTCATTTATTTATTGATAATACAACCATTTAAAAAAAATTACGAAGAACAAAATCGACAAATTTTTTTACAGGAAACAAAACAAACTTTTGTTATACTTGCCATGATAAAAAAAACATAGTATTTAACTCTTGAAATTATCATAACAATTTTATAATCAATAATCTTCTATTGGTAATCAGTTTACAAAACTTGTAATAAAATCTAATTCCTACGGTTGATTTCATGATTCTAATCATTTCTAATTTTAAATAGGAAAAAATTTAGTCACAATGAAATGAATGAATTCTAATTTGCTCCTATATTTTTTTAAAAAAAAATTATAAGTATTATTTTTTTATCCTTATAAAATATATAACTTTTGGTTGTAGTTCTTGTAAACTATTATTCTTTGATTTTTATACCTCTAAATTTTAAAGTCACTATTTTTAAACCTTAACTATCATTTTAAGATAAATAAATAATATTTATTTTAATAATTATAAAAAAATATTTAGGGATTCATACTAAATTAGTGTCATTAAAAATTGTGGAATATATTTAAAAAAGCTGCTCTACCTTTTAATAAGTAATTAATATTGATCACATAATAATATGAATTATAAACAATACTTTCAAATTTTAAAGAGATAAAAAATAAAGAACAAATGTTCTGAGAACTATAATCAAAATCTATTTTTAAACTTAAGAACATATTTAAACTTTTTAAATAATATATTTATATTAAGTCTGGATAATTGCTTAGATTGACATGAGCAGAATGAGGTTTTTAAAGCAATTTATATTTTTTTTTCTTCAGGATTTGTTAATGTGAAAGGTGCATGTTGTGGACTTGGTGAGCTGAATGCTGAATTTCCATGCCTTCCAATTTCGAAGCTTTGTTCAAACAGACAAGATCATATTTTCTGGGATCCATTCCATCCAACAGAGGCAGCTTCTCGCATATTTGTGGATGAAATTTTCAATGGACCTCCAAAATACATATCTCCTATTAATATGGAACAGCTACTTGCTATCTGAATTTTGTAATAGCTTTTCTTTCTTGTGGGATTACTTGTCATCAAACAACTATAGAATAAATTAGAAAGGAAAAAAAAAAGAATTAATTAAATTAAATTAGACTCTTCCTGTGTAACATCCTTGCAAATATTCCTATAGATATAAAAATATTTTTGTTGTTTGCATACAAAAAAACACATAAAAGTATTTCTTGAAAGATTAATTTAATTTTCTTACACTTAATTAATACCAAATAAAAATGTATATAAAATAAAAGTAACCACCAGAATTTGTTTAGTAGTGAAAAATTGTAATAATATATACAAAGTTATATGTCCAAATCATGTCACTGTAATTGTAATTTTTGCTCATAAAAAATTTATTTAAACAAAAGTCTCTCACATTATGTTAATTAACTTAGTCATCTAAATAATAATAAGATATTTAACAAGTAATGAAGATATAAAAGATGTTATTTCTTTTAAGGAGAAAGACTTAAGATATTTCATTCATAATAAAGTAAACAATATATCTTAAAATAAAATTGAAATCATGGTGACTAGTAAAAGATCTTGATGACTTTACAAGGGTATGATCGACTCAATTAATTTGTCCCCTATAAAACAACTACAAATTTCGAATTAGAATTAATGAGAAGCACACATTTATCTACAAGTGATCCATATTCTATGTGGTATATTACTATATTGTGCGTATATGCATATCATCTACATTATTATTTTTTTACTTGATGATTACACCAATAACATCATACGATATTCAGTATATAAACAAATATATTTATATATAAAATTTAACTTCTCAAATAAGTGGCTAAACATAAAACACTATGAAAAATACATTTAATTAGGCATTATTGACTTCTTTAAAAATGTATTGTTTTTTTTTTCATATTTGATGACAAATTTGAGCTCATAATCTCAAAATGTGTTTCGTATGCTTTTGTCATGTGTCCTTTACTCGTGTTTAGTAAAGAGGAAATTAATAGAGAGAAAAGTGTAGAAAAATAGAATGAAAATAGAAGTTGTTTAATAAGAAGGAAATAAAAGAAAAATAAAGTGGAAGTAGATTTTTTTTATAGATAATTTTGTTTAAAAATAAATATATTAATGTTAATATTATTTTTAAATAAATAAATAAAAATAATTTTAGAAATAGTTTTATTTTAACATAATACATATTTATTTATTATTGTTATATTATTTTTAAAATAAATAAATATAATATTTATAACATTGTTCCTCACACTTTTTCCACAATTACTTCCTCACACTTTTTCCTCAATTTTCTTTTACCAAACATAATTACTTTATTAATTTTCACACACTTTTCTTCGCTTTTCTACTTTTCTCCTCTACTTCCCTTTTTTTCAAACATAACCTTAAAGATTCAAAAGGTCTATCGTCCTTCAGTGTCTAAGGGACAACAATCATTTTAAGAATTAAAAAGTGTTGGGATACAAACAAGTCTCACATCGATAAAATAAGAGAAGAAATAATAACTTATAAAGCACATACATACTCCAATGATTAAGAGACATTTTGGGTGATGACTAAAAACAAAACCAAAGTTGTGTATGGAATAACCTTATAAAAATAACTTTTATAAAAATATCCTCTCAGACAAATACCATAGAATAACCCATCAGTGATACCTTATAAAGTGATAATGTGATATATAAAAACAACTTTTGTTGCATATAAGATTATGTCCCTTGTTTGATAGGAGAATTATTGAGATACAAATAAGTCTCACATCGATAAAATAAGAGAAGAATTAATAACTTATAAAGTACACATATACTCCAATGATTAAAAGACCTTTTGGATGATGACAAAAAATAAAACCGTGAGAACTTAGGCCCAAAGCGAACAATATCTCATCATTATAGAGTTATGTGTGAAATAACCTTATAAAAATAACTCTTATAAAAATATCCTCTCAAATAAATATCATAAAATAACCCTATCCAAAATATTACTATCATTATCATTCTCTATTGAAAGAAAGCTCATTTTACCTTTATATATAATCATCATTTTGCATACTTCATATGTAAAAGGAGACATAACAATTCCAATCGTTTAAAATGAATTTAATGCAGAAAAATCTCCCTTTTCAATTATAGGGAATTTAGCATAGGCATACTCCATCCAGTATGATATTGCTGGAATGCGAGACATTCTATAATGAAATTCAAAAACGAGCGTCCTCACTTTCAATGATGGAAGCCTCCCATGATCTTCTTTTCTCTCCTTTCTCACTAATAGTCACAAATATATGTCATAACATCCTTTTTGTCAAAAATCCTCACTTAAACCCTTAATCATACAAGCACAACACATATAGGAAAATCCATTTTTAAACATATCATGGTATCCTAACAACCTTATTAGAATCCCAACAAAACATGATCACATCCAATTAAACATTACCATCATAGAGCATGATTAATCATTTAATTAAGTTATATAATTATCGGTAAAAGGAAATTCATACAAAGGGATGACTATACTATACAAAATTAGTTATGGGGAAGGAGAGTATGCAAGGAGTTGTACTTACCTAGAACAAATATCTAATGATGATTAATCCTAACTCATAAGTGATTAATCATATTATGAGATTTTTTAAATATAATGTCTAATAATGGTTAACAAAAAAAAATAGTTATACTTACAAATGTCATTAACCTCGTGCACTAGTGGGCATTAGATGCTTGAATTTTAAGGTGTAAGATAACTAGGACCCAAGCCATATCCCATGTAGCCTAAAAATTATAATACAATAACACACGTCAAAAGGACATAAATACACATTGCATACATGAAAACTCAAATGTAAATACACATTTTTATTCAACTTCTCACTCAAATGCACTTATGTTTGAAATTTGTATATTACAAAGAAAAAAGAGAAAGTTTCCTTGGAAGTGTCAAACATTACACTTTATGATTTGGGACTTGTCTAAATAAGGTACTTTGAAGGTTATTGCAAGTGTGAGTAATTTAATGTGTTTTTAAAATATGAATCATGTTCAATATGTTGTGTTGAACTTGATTGTAGAAATACCATTGCGAAATGTAGTGGCTTTAGAGGATGATTATTGGTTTTCCATCTAAAAATTGTCCACTAATGTTTTTGTATCATCTTGATTTTTAATGATACAAAGTACATAATTGTTGGTGTTACTCTTTCAATTTTAGGTAGTCTTTCCTAATTTTTAACATTAAAGAGCAAATAAGATACAAAAATAGATAGGTAGCCTCTTTTCTTAACAATGTCATGTGTAGACCTTTTTAGATTCATTTAGTATCATTAAATCAAATATAAGGAATTTTGATTTTAGTGTAAACGAAATTTCTCAATTCACAATTATACAAAAATGTAGTTTAAATAAAAAATTAAACAACTTAAGAAATGATAATCAAAATTTTAATATAAATAGAACTTCACAATTAACAACTAAAAAATATTAGTTTAAAATACAAAATAGAAAATCTTCAGATATGAAAATTGAAAGAAACATGCGCTTTCACTACAAAATATTATCATGTAGGCTCTACAACCTCTCAATTCATTCATAATTACATAAAATATTAGTTGAAAATACTAAGTTAAAACTTTTCATAATTAAAAATTGGCAAGAGTTGCGCCAACACAGACTCCGACTTCCACAAATTATGATGTAGGTTCTGTCACTTGGACAGACCTTAAAGCAGTAACCCTCCCAAGTGCAATGAAGGTCATTGATCTAGGCCATGGACCTTTTTGATCATCCATTGACCCCATCCAGGTAAGTATTTTGTTTAGTGTGATACCTTTTGATCTTATAGCTTATTCTTCATATTACTTTAGCTAACTTTTTTGATATGGGACTTATTTTAACCGAGTACCTATGCCTCCCAAGAAGTTATATCAAATTCAAAGAGTTTCGTCCAAATTTAATCACTAACAATACTATGTTATGAAATTAGTCATACAAGCATAATTGGAAACATGGTGGATTAAGTAAATGATTCTTGCATTGCCTTCTAAAAAATTGAATTCTAATTTTGTATCTTTTTGGTTTTTAATTGTTTAAATTGCGATGCTTCTTTCATTTTGTCTTTTATCTTTTGTAATTTATTATATCATTAAAAATCGTAGACAATATAATATGATGTAACAAGTTTTCATGTTGAACAATGTTAATCTTATATTAAGTGTTAACAGATTATTTTTAGCATCACTAAAAGAGCAAGAAAGGCCAAACCAAAATGAAGCACCTAGAAGTAGTAATTATTAATTCAAGCATACTTAGAATGATGATATTTTGCTCGCTTTTATATTTTATAGAACAATGAATTATTTCACGACCAATTAACATTTTTCATGAAAACCCTTTTGAAACATTGATTTAAGAGTGATTACTTCAAGTTGTATTGGATGAGTTTAAGACATTTAAAAAAGAAAAAAAAATGAAGAATATATAAATTGTAGTTTCATAGGAGACAAAAATTAAAGATTAAGTGAGAATCTTGTTTGATTTGATTTGACTAGAAACATGTTTATGAAATTTTGATTTGAATTCATATGAATCGTATGATAAATGACTATCCTTATGAACTATATGATATCTTGGAGGCACCATGTGGCAATCTTGTGTATAGAATCAATTGAAAAATGCGGTACATATGATCCAATATCATCATCTAATAAACCTTATCTAAACTAAAATAAGATACATTATTATTAAAGTGGATGGTCAACCTCAATTTCAATGAATAAACTAATATTTATTCCAATGATTATTTCTATAATCTAGGATGCAACATGTTTACAACTCTTAAAAAACTTGCATTGAAACACATAAGAAATATGAATTTACTTTCTATTCAAGTGGAAAAAATGACAATATGATAGTTATATTTGTTTAAAACACTATTTAAATTTAATATAAATAAAAATTTTCAATTCATATAAAATATTAGTTTAAAATACAAAGTTAAAAATATTCAAAATTGAGAATTGATAAGAGTCATGCGAACGCAGGCTTCCACTACCATAAATTATGATGTAGGCTTTGCCACTTGGGCATACCTTAGTGCAACACTCTTCCTATATGCAATGAAGGTCACTATTCTAGGCAATGGATCTTTTTGATTGCCCATTGACCCCATCTAGGTAATTATGTTGTTTAGTGTCATGCCTTTTGATTTTATAACTTTTTTGATATGGGACTTATTTTAACCGAGTACTAAATTCTCCCAAGAAATTATCTCAAATTCAAAAAGCTTTGTCCAAACATAATCACCACCAATACTATGTGATGAAATTAGTCGTACAATCATAATTGAAAACACAATGGATTGATGAAATGATTCTTCCATTGCCATTTACAACAATTGATGCATGATTTTGTATCTTTTTTGGATTTTAATTGTTTAAATTGTGATGTTAGTGGTGCTATTCTTTCATCTTGGTATCGTATTCTTTTTCAATTTATTATACCATTAAAAATAATAGACAATATAATAACAGGTAGCAAGCCTTGAATGACAGTTGTGTTTTTGAAATAACATCACATGCATATAGAACTAGATTGAAACGTTGCATACCATATTGTCATGAATCTTGAATGTGTCGATATGAATTATTATATATATATATATATATATATATATAACTATTAGATCAAATGACGAATGACCCCTCAAAATCTATGTTTTAATGATAACAAATATATGTGTTTTTGTGAAGCATGAATAAACTGTTATAAGATGATAGCGTAGATCATTTAAAAGAATGTATTACACTAAGTCTTATGCATATCCACATATTAGCTTGAATGTATTGTTTATTATAGGAAAATGTATTTATTACAATATTTATTATGTATGATGTTCATATCATCTATTTTCAATGTATACATTTACATATCGAAGGAATAAAAGCTTATTTGGTATTTGGAATGACTATAATTAGACGAGATTTGCTTTTTGTTATAAAATGGATAAGAATATCCCTTGAGGTATGTGAAGTCAGCTAAAAGTCATTTTAGTCTGACATATGCTAGAGTTTCTTACCTTTTGTACCCAAAAGTTGATAAGTGACATCATTAATCAGATAAAAAATGACCATTTGGTGAACACATCTACACTCAAGGAAGGAATGAAACAAACTACAAGAAAAAGACTTAAGCATTTGTAAGGGTTACCTTCCATTATTGCATATATAAGAAACATGAACAAGTTTAGAGGAAAAAGGAATGCATAATCTAATTCTTCATTCTTTCTCTTTGTAAAGATTTCCTTTGTACTTAAATTATTTGTCATGTCTTGTATGTAAGATGATTATTTGTTAGTTTACTAAGCTTAAACTTTATGATTTTAGCTTGAAGCCTAAATAAGTTTTTTTATTATTATTTAAAGAATACTTGATATAGAGAACTATGGAGGCTTTGCTTTTTAAACAATACTTAGGTAATTTTCTTGAAGAGACAAATCAAAGAACACTTTAGTTTAGTCATGTTGGGATACAAGCAAAGTCTCATATCGTTCAAACAAGAGGATGGACATGAGTTTATATATACACAGTTGTCTCCATTGGTTAAGAGACCTTTTGGGTAATGTCCAAAAGCAAAATCGTGAGGGCTTGAGCCCAAAGCGGACAATATCTCACCAATGTGGAGACATGTGTATATGTGTGGTAACCTCCAATGCACAAGAAGTGGTATCAGAGCCGATGGTCTGATCAGGTGACCGGCTCGACGAGTATGATGGTTGGCAGGTGAATCCAAGTTTGGGATTCCTTGTGTTGAAAGTCTTCCTAACGGTGAGTCTATGTGGAAGAGAGTCTTCCTGGTAACATGGAGGGTTAGGAGGCGTGTCCCGCCGTCATGAGGGAGGTCATGATGGAGCGGTGGTGCGGTGGTGCAAGAACTTAGAGCATGAGTGAGCTTTGTGGGGCCACAATTGGAGGATTGTTGGGATATAAGAAAAGTCCCACATCGTTCAAACAAGAGGATGGACATGAGTTTATATACACACAATTGTCTCCATTTGTTAAGAGGCCTTTTGAGTAATTGTCCAAAAGCAAAACCGTGAGGGCTTGAGCCCAAAGCGAACAATATCTCACCAATATGGAGACATGTGTATATATGTGGTAACCCCCGATGCATAACAAGTCAATAGTGGCTTATGAAAGAATACTTTTGTATCTTTGTGAAAGATAGTGAAACTTGATCAATTGATAAAGATCTGATCATAGTCTCGATGGTTGAGACAAACCAATATAAAATATCTTATGTTTTTTGCTTTACTTCATCTACAACATTCAACCCTTGTGTTTCCTTTGCTGCTTACGAAAAAAGTGTTTTAAGTTTTTGATAGACATAATTCCACCCCTCCTTGTGTCTATCTTTACTCCATAATTACATGTGTTTTGTTTGTGGTTGCCTGACCTTACTCCACACTAAGAGCATGAGTGTAACGTATCTCACTCCCTTATTTGTTATTTCTTACTTGTGTTTGGGTTGAACACCACTTGCAAGAGAATAGATAACTCATTTTCTTTTTCTTTGTTTCTATTGCATTATATCTTATTGTACCCCAATTTTGTTGTGCGATATTTGAGGGTCATAGTCAAAATCTCGCTGTAGGTTCGAGAATACAATGGAGAAGATTGTGGAGGATCCTTTAGTTTACAATTATAATTCACCTTGGATAGTTGTAAAAGATGATGATTAACAAGTTAATGTTTTCATCATACCAAATAAAGTAAATTGGAATGTTGTCAAAGTGTTGATAGAGATGTTTATCATACAAATTTTTCTTATAGTACTCACATTTCTATACAATTATATCTATATGAAAGTTATGTTGTTTTGAATGTACGCATATGTGATTGCCATGTAGAAGACTGCACTATCTTAAGATATGATACTATTCTTTTTTTCAACAAAAGGCCTCAAATACTTGAATGTTTATTTTACACTTCTTGCAGTTACATATACATGACCTTGTAACAAACAAAAAAATAATAGAAGTTTTTGTTTTAAACTTCTATGAAAAGTTTGGAACAAAATACAAACAAAATAAAATAAAGCCTAACTTTTTTAGCCAAGGATGATTTCAAAAAAGTGGATCATAAAACTAATTTAAAATGTTAATAGTTGTGTGAAGACCCATTGAAAAAAAAAGTTAGATCAATTATAACTACATCAAGCATCGATATTCTGAATTCCTTCAAGTATCCTATATCGATACTCTTGGATACATACCTATAGAGTATCTAAGAATTTGAAAATATTATGAAAATCCAATACATTTGCATATGTAACCTTATGGAGGTTACATTCATCCTTACACACACATATTAGGGGGTGTATACGATGAGGATGACATTTCTACGTGAGAATGAAATCAACACCACCACCATTATTTCCACCACCACCAACACCATTAAAATATATAATATGAGAATGACATTTTTATGTGAGAATGAGAACTATCACTCTTAATCATTAGATTAAAATAAAAGGTTGTGATTAAAACACTCACTAAAATATATTGTGTTATCTTACTTATTAGATTAATCTTTCAAAATTTTCTTACTTACTCACCTTTTCATTGTTGATGCCACAACCAACATTTTTAAATTCACATTTAAATAAAACATATAATCTAAACACAAATAAAAATATTTTTTTAACTAAGAATTATAAGGGGCAGCGCAAACGCAGGTCCCCATTACCACAAATTATGATGTAGGCTTTGCCACTTGGACAAGCCTTAGGGTAACACCCCTCCCAAGTGCAATGGAGGTTATTACCCTAGGCCATGGACCTTCTTGATCATCCATTGACCCCATCCAGGTATGTATATTGTTGAATATCATTCGCTTCATTTTTTTAGCTCATCCTCCATACTACTTTGGCTAATGTTTTTGATGTGGGACTCCTTAAAAATGGGTACTTCAGTGACTAATACAAGTGATTTATTATCTAAGATAAGAGAGATTTGCCACCCAAGAATGGATGGATGGGGGTCTCAAGTTACAAGTTCTCCTTCCAATCATGATAAATAGGATGCGCTAATAACCTAGTTGTAGAAGCACAAGTGTAATGGTTTCACGAGAATGATATTTGGTTTGACATCTAAATTTCTTGAAACATATTTTTCTATCTTATTCAATTTTAACGATACTAAATATACAATTAGGGATGTTATTCTTCAATTTTAGGTATCATTTTGTCATGTACATCAATATAAACTAAAGAAGACATAAAGAGATGTTATATGTTGGCCTTTCTAGATTAATTATAGAATCTAAATCAATCATTATGAGACCAAAACAAAACAAAGTAGCAACTAGAAAATACATCAAGGTTAAAATATGATTTTATTTCACTATCATATTTTTTATAAGCAAGCAATGAATCACATTATAAAATCATATATAAATTATAGAATTTGTATAGTCAATTAAATAAATTTGGTGAATCACATTGTTTCTATGTATGAAATAATACACAAATACTAAGTAACGTGATGTAGTCTTTGTCACCATTTCCACAAATTGTGATGTAATCTTTGTCACTTGGGTAGACCTTAGAGCGACACTCTTCCCAAGTGCAATGGAGGTCATTGCCCTAAGTTTAATAATATCATACTAAGACTTTCAAAGACAATTACCAAAAATGTTTCACACAATTTGAATATAATTGGGACAATAAGCATGTTTTCAAGGGTTTGATCCTTGACCTTTGTATGGAAAAGACTTTGTTATGAGAAACAAAACTTACTTTGGTGATCTTTATGCCTAGAAAGAAATTAGTCTCCAACTATCAATTTGAGGATATCTTTGTTACAAACCAAAACTTTGGATTATAGTGTTAAACAAATAGAAATGAACCTAAAAATAGTATATTTTTCAAATGTGCCAAGCACATTCCTTTGGCTCTTTGGTGTCTTTTTGAAGGTTTGGAGTACGAGAGAATTGTCAAGGACCACCATGTATCCAAGATATGTATTCTTTTTTTTTTTTTAATTTAGGAAAGATAATTAATAACACTCAATTATGTGTCATGTGAAAATTAGTAAGGACTATGTTGATCATAAATCATCTAAAAATTTCTCCCAAAGTAGATTCTAAAGAAAAGGAACATTTGATTAAGGCTATTGCATAAATTAGGTGATGATAAAACAATCTCAACTATTTGCATGTATATTGGTTGGATGGGTGGTTCCTTTAACTTAAGGCTGAGAAAGAAAATTGATACAAGAGAGAAATGGTAACATCATTAATCAAACATTATTCAAAACCTAAGAAAAAGGTTTGCTTCAAAATTTGAGACGAGAGATCAATCCTCAACAAGCCTGATTGTTTCATAAGAATGACCACTGAGTTAAAGATAGTTATTGAATAAGAATTTTTTTGTTGTTGAAATTTTTGCAAACTTCACTAAGAGTGGCACACCTTTCAATTCAAATTCAATCAACATCAATAAATATTACCAATTATTATTGTACATTTCATTACATGTCAAATGTGTTAATTATCTTCAAATCTTTAGAGCTTCAATGCACAAAAAAATAGTTCATCTACATTAGAAGAATAATCTGATTAGTCCAGTTCCCTCTATATAGATTTAAGTAACGTGATATTTATATAAATTCATGAAAAACATTAAATTTGTCATTTAACCAACATTTTCATTTCCATTGATCCAAGTAAATAGTGTCACAAATCAAATGAATTTGATATAAAGATTTTGTTCACACACACACACACACATATATATATATATATATATATATATAATTTTATAACATAAAACAATTTACTTAAAAACACAATTTACTTAAACAAATATAAACATGAAGCTTCTTGAAGAAAAGTTCAAAGAATTGGACCTCTAAACTAAGACTTCAAGGCATTTTCCTTGAGAGAAAATGTTCATCTTGAACTTCCTTTGGTCAACGGTCTTTGCATGCTCATAGAATAGCTAAGACCATGGTATTACATGTCAGCTTAAGTAGCATAGTTACTTTCTGTTGGTGCTTTCAAACTGAAATTTTTTTTAAGCTTCTAAATACTAATCAAAGAAAATTTGGAACACTTGAACAAATCTATTAGTACTCCACATGAAAACTCTTCATGGTTAAAACTTAAAACTAAGAATTTGTCATTATTAAAACATACATTAAGGTAGGACTCAACAGTAATTTGTAAGATCAAATAAAAAAAAAATATTTTCCTTAACACTATATATGTTTTAATCCTCAAAGTTTAAAATAGTGTAGATAAAGGAGTATAGTTATTAACCTTATTTTGTATATGTAATCAAGTAGTTGTATTTTTCACCAAATTATTGCTAAATTTTTATATATAGTTTTTTTCTTTGTTGAAATGTAAAAGATTAATTAATAATAAATATATGTGATATTTGTTGGAATGAGCTCTAATGTCCAATGTATTTTTATACCATAACTTTAATGTATAAATATTTGATTATTTATGTACTATATTGGTCTCTTAACAATCTAGTAGCTTAATAACTTAGACTCTTTACATCTTTAACATTGTCTGGAGGAAGTTTCATTTTGAAACAATTTATATAAACACATTTAAGTTATTTTTTTGTTTATTGTATAACATACTAATGTATTGAATATTTTTTTTCGTTCAATAATACCTTATGGATCTATTAACCCCAAAATCAAAATAAATACACATTTATACATATTATCAATACGTATGTAAAGGAGAAATAAAAAAATTGTGCACATAATATAAGTTTTTCATAAAACTCAAGTTAGCTGTGTAGAGAAGTAGAATGAGAAAACACTCACCTCAATTATGATTAACTCTTTCAGTATATCTCATTCGTCTAATAGGACAACAATTAAGTTTTATCATACAAAGAGGGTCTCATTGAGCATAAATTAAAAGCCACTCCATCATAGGTTGTTTAGGGCACAAACCTAGGACAATATCTATCAATTAATTAGGTATTATAATAATAACTGCCGACCATAATTAACATATTATAAATTAAAGAATAATTTTTAATAATTGATTAATGTTAATTTATAAAATAGATTAATTAAATAATTAATCCAACAATATCAAGTGTGACTTGATTGTGAGATTTCATTAAACAATAGAATATTATTTTTAAAATATTCGTTGTAATGACCTCTTATGCCATCACATTGAACACACAACAATTACATCATAGTAGGGCAAAAACTAACCTAGGATTTTCATGCATAACAATTTATGAATATTCGCGCAACACTATATATATATATATATATATAGATGATAGATAGAGAGAGAGAGAGAGAGGATGGACCTACTTACTTCAAGAGTAAGTCTATCTAGGCTTACTCCACTCAATGACTCATGTTCTATATCAAATTTTAACAATTCAATGTTAAATTAAAATTTCTTAATGCATAAATCAAGTTTGCAAATATTTGAAATCTATTTGATATTCTATTTCATTAATTCAAATTGACGGATAATTATAAAAATATTTTATACATTGATTTGAATTAATGAAATAGAGTATCAAATAATTTTTAATTTTTAAAACTTTGCAAAATTTATGTATGTATTAAAAACTTTTAATTCAACGATTGGATCATTAAAATTTGATGTAGAACATGAGTTATTGAGTATAGTAAATCTAAGTAGATTTGCTCTCGGAGTCAGCAGGTCCTTTCTCTCTTTCTCTCTCTCTCTCTCTCTCTCTATATATATATATATATCTCTATTTCGCTTTCTAGGGTTTGCATTTCCTCAAATTTTCGTCGATTCGCGGTTATATATATATATATATATATATTTATAGATTGATAACATACTTTCATCTATTTTTTAGTTGGAATATATGAGCAACTGTAAATTCGACCTTAAAGAGCAACATATACCAAATTTTAAAGACAAAATATCACTCATTCCTTTTGATTTGATTAATTTGTATAAAGGATATTATAGTAATTTGAAATTTATTTTTAAAAAATAAAGGCTTAATTGCATTTTTGATCCCTCAAGTATTGCAATTGTGCAATTTTGATCCTCAAGGTTTTAATTGTGTAATTTTAGTCCCTAAAGAATTACAATTGTGCAATTTTTGTCCTTTAATTTTTAATTGAACACTTTTAGTCCCTCAAATATCATAATTGTGCAATTTTAGTCCCTCAAATATCATAATTATGAAATTTTAGTCTCTCTCATTACAAATTTAATAATTTTAATATATAAATTAAAAGTTACTAACAATAACTTTTATACTGGTTTGATATATATTTATATTTTTGTAAAAGGATATTAATATATACTAAGTTATATTTATCAAATTATTAATTTATCTATAAATATACTAATAATATTATTGATATTAATTTATGAGTAATATTATAAAAGTAATAATATATAAATTTTATTTATTTAGTAATAATAATAAATATATTATTTGATACATTAACAAAAATTATAATATACGTTAACTTGAATAGATAAATAATTATATTTTTTAAAAATATTGTATATATATACTAAAATTATTAAATTTGTAATGGGAGAGACTAAAATTGCACAATTATGATATTTGAGGGACTAAAATTGCACAATTATGATATTTGAGGGACTAAAATTGTTCAATTAAAAATTAAAGGACCAAAATTGCACAATTATAATTCTTTAGGGACTAAAGTTACCCAATTAAAACCTTGAGGATTAAAATTGCACAATTGCAATACTTGAGGGATCAAAAATGCAATTAAGCTAAAAATAAAAATATTTTCTCTTTCCTATTAAATTCTTTCTCCAACTCATTTCTCTTTTCTCTCACCTCTCACCATGTCTCATCTCTCATAACAAATAAATTGCTTTCTCTCAACCATCAATTGTTGCCATGGAAGGTGATGTGCAACAAATTTGATTGAAGTTGTGAAGGATTTAAGAGAGAGGAGAATTAGTGTGAGAGGACATGTTAAGGTGAGGGCAAAGTGTTGAGGATGGACATGGTGGAAGAGATGCCCAGTGGGGAGAATGGCTAATGGAGATGGGAGATGTCTAGCCATTTTTTTAGCTTGCTTTCTAATTATTGTATGTTACGTTCTTTTGACAATGAAATATGAACTTTCAAATCTTAAATCTGGATAAATCAAACCTTGACTTTCTTTAATAATATTAGTATATCATTATTATACAATGAAGATGAGATAATTTTGTATACCTTAAATGTCATTTTTATGGATACATGATAGACTAGTAAATAATGTAAAAACTAAAAATAACTATTTTATGATGAGGTTAATGGATTTACAGATGATAAAAATGATAAAGAAAAGAGAAAATAGTTTATTTATAAAGAGAAAAGAGGATGACGTAAGAAATGAAAATAAAATTAATAAGAGAAAGAAAATATTTTTATTTTTTTTAAAAATAAAATAAATTTATTATAATATCACTTATATAAATTAACCAAATAAAAAAATAAATGATTTTTATATTCTAAAATTATAATATATATTATTAACATATTCTATATATATATTACAATAATAATAATATAGTTGGAGGAACTTATTTGAATTATTATTTGAAGAATTTGATTGATCATTGACCAGAAGTGTTAGCTATTTTTTTTTAAATTTTAGAATTTTCAAAATATATTAGGAAGTTTCCTCCATTTGTGTCTTCCTCTTTTTTAGAGATTTATCATTAGTAATCTTCTAATGTACATACATAGACAATTATTTTTCAATCATTACTAAAAGTCAAATGTAGTGTAACTAGTTTTAATTATGAGAACTTTAGGGAGTATTTTGTATGCTAAAATTTTTTACTTTTTCAAAAATCTAAAATTAGAATTTTAGTTTACCATTTTTTTTATTCGAAAAAATTTCTCATTTACCAAAATGCTCTTTTAGATTTACGGAGTTCAAAGAACAAATATCACTATATATTTTAATAAAGGTAATAAAAGATTAAAACTTTATTTTATTTTTCTCTATTTTATGATATGAATTTAATTAAAATAACTCAGTTTGAAGAACTACCCTGTAACTATGCTGGAGAAGATTCGGAGAATGAACAGAGTTGCAGAAGAAACAGCGCGCCTCACCAGATTGTCTCTTGATGCCCCAAAATACGTGAGTTATTCTCTCCTTACTCCTCTTAACCTTCTCCATTTTATTAATTTCCCTTAAATTTTATGGATTTTACTAAAAAAAATCTAACATTTAGGTTGCAGTTATATAGGGTTAATATCTTTTGAGCATGCCTCCATAGATGGCAAAAGAAAAAAAAAAAAAAATCAGGTCTATTGCAACTTAAATTGTGTAAATTTTTATTGGAAAAATAGGATTGATGGAAATGTGATTTCCTTGGTACATAATAATGGGTCAATAATGGGTCATGGAATTCTCTTTGAACCTTTTTGTTGTTTAAGGTAGAGGTGGCATTTGCCAATGGTAGAGTGTTCAATCTATCAGCTGAATTTCTCAGAATAAATAGTCCTGCGGCTGATGGAAAGATTAGGTCAATTGGAGGTGAAAAGGTACTACTTGTTGCCACTTTTGGAATTTTTTTAGCTTCATCGTTTAAAAATTATTTGCTGGATTTTCATCAACCAGATACCACTTAATTATTGAATTAGGATGTGTTTGGAAAAGTTTCTTTACAACATATATGGGCTTATTTATCGAAATAGGCACTTGTAGATTTGATTGTGAGAACTTATGGAAATGGTCTGTGATTTATCTTTGAGAAGCTGTTTTCAATTTATTTCAATAAGTCTTTTAGGATATAGATTAAGAAAATAGTTTATTCCTATTTTTTCTTTGATTATAGAAACAACTCTATATAAGTGCTTACATGATAAACAATTACATTCTATTTGAATAAACTTTTTCATAAACACTATTAACAAGAAAATAAGAAAAATAAATAAATCAACTTTTTCCATAGGTTAAAATCAAGTTATGTATTTTAGTTTTTAGAGAATTTAGACCAGAGCTACTATAAAAGTTAAAGTGCAGGAGTTAAATTTAGTTTATGGGAAAAAGTTTTACTCCTTTTATCTTCTTATTTTCTTCTCATCTTCTTATGTAAATGTTTATGGAGAAGTTTATTAGCAGACGTTCTTATTCAACAAGCACTTAATTTAGTTATTTACCAAATGCACCCACCCAGTAACAATGTCTTTTCTAATATTATTTTTTTAGATTTTGAATTGAATTTTATTGATTCCCTCTAATGATACTTCCTTTGTTAAATGACTTCCTTGAACCAGGTGATATCTGGGAGGCGCCATGTGGGAATCATGTCTGCAGAACCAGTGGGAAACTATGGGGTGAGGTATTACTGCAAGCTTTGATATTAGATCCAAATTTAGTTTCAATATTTAGTTGCCCATATAAACTAGAATGTGATTCATGATTGTTGAATTGGATGGTCCAGGCTAAATTTTGATGACTTGCATAAGACTGGTATTTATTCCTGGGATTATTTCTATCATCTAGGAAGCAACAAGTTTACCCTTATGAGAAATTACATTAAGACATTGAAGAAATATGGGCTAAGTCGGGATCCACGAGGAAGGAAATGATGAAGACTTCAGTTTTATCACCCAAATATAGTTTGAGATTTGGTGGCAGTTGTTATTTATCAACATGACACTGATAGCTTCATTTGTTGAAAATGAAACCCGCAATGTTGAAGATTTGGAGTTTAATAAAATGTGAATTGTGGGCATCGATACAGAGGGGGAATCAAGTAATGTTTTGCATCCTTTCTGTTTCTTCCTTTTTGAGGAAAGGATCATCTAATTATCAGCAAAGGTACTTCTGTATTCTCTAAAGAGTTATTGATTTCTGTTTGGATCATGTTGTATTTTAATTATTATACATTTTTTTTTACAATATTTTGTAAGCCCTATTCATGTATTAGAATTTTTAATATTTTAAATTCTTTTACTTAGATGCAAAATTGCTCTGAAAATGTTATGGCAAAACCCTTGTTGTTTTCTTGAGTTTTGGTCGTTCTGCCAAATCTCGTAAATGTGCATCTTCTATCAGCTTGCTATTAAAACTTGTAGTATACACCTTGTAAGGTCCAAAGAACATGACTATTGACTGAGAGAAAGCATCAAATTCTTTTTTATTATTTAGTTCTGTTAAAATAAGCTAAAAGAAGAATAATCAAATATTTCATTAAAATAAGCTAATTTAAACAAAAACTCAAACGATGCTTGATTTTTAGAGTTACTCATATAAAGACGCTGGATATCAATGTAAACTTTTGATATTAAAATTAACAACAATTTAGTCCTCTATTGTTTACACCAAGTCTTCTAATGTATATTTGAATAATTTGGTTCTTAAAATGATGATTAATTTACATTATTAAAGATCAAATTGATGTAAACAATCTGTGATGATACCTTGTATATGTTCGAGAATGAAATTAAGACTTCACTTGTAATTTTATTTATCTTTTTAGAAACAATGTTATTTTAGTAGTTTTTTTTTTTTTTTTTGCGTACATATAATAATGGTGCTTGTTTATATCTAAAACATTGTTAGTTTATAGAAAATCAATTTCAAACTCATGCTATTTTATACTTCACTTTTGCTATCCTTTTTATTTTTTTTTTCTTTTAAGGGTTTCAAATATTTACTAGAATAAATCATACACTTCCTTAAAATAAATAATTGAGTGAAAAATCTTCTACAATACATGCTTTGATATTCACAAGAACAATGCAGAATTGAGTGCACCTTCCGCATAGAATACCCTTTCACTAATGTACATAAATGTAAAGTAACTCTAACATCATATTAGAGTTAGTTCACATCCACATACAGTTTTTGTAACAATTTTTTTTTTCACCAGCATCATAAAGTTTCGTCTTAAACTAAAGTTGGTATTATCGGATTTCTTATTTAGGGATAAAATGAGATCTTATTCCACCTACACAACCATCATGATGACATAATTTTCAGCAGGAAATTCTAATAAAAAAAACATTTAAAACAAAATCACTGTAGATGATGTGAAAAGGTTTACATAATAAATCCTGATCAAGTTAGTAAACAAATTAAGAATACATTGCAAATGTTCATGTTATTTCTCTTGTTAGTAATGTCATGCACAATCAAATGCAAATAGCCAGCCAAGGCAGATTCAGTCACGCAGCCACTTTGTGTCGACAAAGTTTACAAGAATTTGGCTAACAAACTAGCAAAACGCATAGAGGTCATTAGAAGTTGACAATCTCTTTCTGCCCTCAAACATGTACTCCAAATAGCAGAATAGTGTAAACAGGATTTCTAGAGCAGTTCGCACTGTGTCCATTAATTACACTTTTACATTCTGAAAATAAAGGTTGTTTCACGTGCAGTTCACACCGTATCCATTAGTGACACCTTTACTTTCTGAAAATGTAGGTTGCGAACTTTGTGAATAGAACAATTAATTAGGATGGCTTTTTCTTTCTGCTGGCTTGTGAGATGCGCTTCAGCATTTGAGTTTCCCTTTTCATTCCTCTGTGATACAAAAGACTAAACTTTATCGGTATAAAGTTTCCTAAAATACGGTCGTAACTGAGAAGTTTTAAAGTATATACCTCTGATATAAGTAAATGTAGAGATAGTATAGTAGCAGCAGTACACAAGCAAAATAGACACGACGATATAGAACACATTTTTCTTATTCTGCAAAAATCAAGAAACCAGTCAATGAAAAATTCTCTTATTTTCAGCCAGCAGCTTAACTTCAAGGGAATTGCATCCCACAGATATATTTCCACTATGCTACCACAAAGTTGAAAATACCATGTTGACCTTTATTGTCTTTTCTTCACCAACACATTCAGTGAGCTCTACATCCAAAGATCCTTGTAACAAGTAAATGAGATTTTTGAAAATTTACTTTCCAGTTAGCCATACAAATTTTCAAATTACATTCTTTTTGTGAAACCTTAAGCTCAAATAAGGATTTCTGAAAATCAAACATGGCTCACACAAATGAACATATAGAGTTGGACAATATCATGACCGCACATAAAAAGTACATGCAAAAATAAGATGTGGAAAGAAAAATCAATTATAGATTTCAGAATTACCCTGCGCCCTCTGGAGAAAGGCTTCCTCCTTCCAGCGCAGCTGTGTGCATCACAGAATTGGTGCAGGAAGAGTTCTATTAAATTGTTAAAGTAAGAAATCAGATTCACAAACTACCATAAATACACAAGATTTTGCAAGAATGAAAAAAATATTGTAATACCATGAAGTCTGCCTGCCGCGGGTCTCTCTCATTGATTGGAAAACAATCATTGGCTAAGCTCTATGAAAAACAGGTAAATTAGTAACACAAATAAATTTGGTCACAGCAAATGAATAGACAGACCAAAAGCACACCTCACATAGAAGTTTATTTCTTGCAGCAGCAGCAGGATTGCAATTTGATTTTTTTGACCCGGAGTTCATTTCATTGTCACAGTGCAGTGCACCACATACATCTGCTAAGCACTGACTTTCACTCTGGATTGAACATAACCATCTCATTTCAGTAATTAATGCTACTACACCACAGGTTGAGCAGAGAAAGCTACCAAAATTGTTGAGTTACTACAAGAAAATTTTCAAAGCAAACCATTGTAAGATCTCACTGAAATATGTAATTGCTGTTAAATATTATTTGCTTTTGACAAGTTAAAGAATCAAAGCAACCACACAAATCAATCCCATGGTTTTTTTTTTTCCTGTAAATTTCCTGTGGTGCTTCTAGGTCAAGAGGGGATAACACTCCAAAGAAAGTGGGGGAGCTTAAAGAAGCTCAGCTCACATTATTTTGATGTTTGTTTATATCTAAAAGGCAAAAATACATTTTTCGTTTCTTATATTATTTATTAGCGTCAATTTAGTCTCACTTTAATCAATTGAATCAATTTAGTCCCACATCTTTAAAATGTATCTCAATGTTTGAAGTTTCGTTTCCTCCGTTTAAATACTTAATAGATTTGACACGTGTCATGTCACGTGGCATGATGACATGACATGTGTCATGCTACCATGTCACATGTCATGTCATCATGTCACGTGTCATGTCATATGTCACGTCACGTGGCATGATAGCATGACACGTGTCACATCCGTTAAGTATTTAAACAGAGAAAACGAAAAGTCAAATATTGAGGTACATTTTAAAGATGTGAGACTAAATTAATTCAATTAATTAAAATATGACTAAATTAACACTAATAAATAATATAAAAGGACGAAAAATATATTTTTGCCTATCTAAAACATTGTTAGTTTTATAGAAGATCCATTTCAAACTCGTGTTATTTTATACTTCCCTTTCGCTTTCCTTCTTTTTTTAATTTTTTTTATTCTTTTAAGGGTTTAAAATGTTTACTAGAATAAATTATAGCCTTCCTTAAAATAAATGAGTGAAAAATCTCCAACTATACATGCTTTGATATTTGAGTCCAGACTCCAAGACAACGCAAAATTGAGTGCACATTCCTTCCGCATAGAATGCCCTTTCACTTTAATGACAGTTTTGTTACCAAAAATCCATGCAGGAACAAGCTCCGTGCCTAAAGTGATGAAAACGATGACGATCCCTAACCACAATTTCACGATCAAATGCTTTTGAGATTAATTTCACAACCGTGTGGCAATCATTACATATGCGCAAATTCTTCATAACTCTGATTGGAGTTGGTGGAGCAATAGTGATAAGTCCAAAGGCGACAGCAAGTTTCTCACTGTGCCTGAAAAGCACAGTTTCCTTCTCTTCTTCATCTATGTCTAGTGAAACCTCACTTGTGGTTGGTACATAGCCTTCAATCTTCAATTTTGCAGCCACTACATCTAACATGTGCTCAATATCATTTATTTGTGGATGTGTCTTGTCTCCAGCCAAAAATTCATGAACTATTCCATTTGCTTCAATCATGCTACAACCAGGTGTCTTCACCACCCCATGTTGTGCCATCATTCCCCTAATTTCAAGAACATTGCCCCAATTTCCTTTCGAAGCATATATGTTTGACAATAATACATGGAAACCATCATGATCAGGCTGAAGTTGAATGAGTTTTCTCCCCACCCTCTCCCCCATTTCATTGTTATGGTGTTTTCTACATGCCCCAAGCAGAGCACCCCAAGTGGCAACATCGGGCGCCATTGGCATACTCTCAATCAGTTCCTCAGCTTCTTTAAGCAAACCTGCACGTCCTAAAAGATCAACCATGCACCCATAATGCTTTATATTTGGCTCTATTTTGTGCTCATGAATCATGGAACTAAAGTATTGGCGCCCCTCATCCACTAGGCCCATGTGCCGACAGGCCCCGAGAACTCCCATAAATGTAATCTCATTAGGAAGTGTCCCACTTTTTTTCATATCCGAAAACATCTTAAGTGACTGTTCTACCAAACCATTCATTGCCAACCCAAGAATGACCGCATTCCAAGTAGAAACCCCCTTTTCCTCCATCGCATAGAAAATCTCCAACCCATTTTCCACACACCCACATTTCATATACATATCTATAAGCGTCGTGCTCAGAATAACATTAACCTGAAACTTATTTCTACATATGTAAGCATGAATCCATTTCCCCAAGTCCAAAGCAGCCAGATGGGTGCAAGCCGAGATGGCACTCACTAAAGCAGACTCATCCGGCCTAAATCCATGAAGCTGCATTTCTTGGAACAACGCCAACGCCTCCGAGAAGCATTCATGTTGAGCATAACCCGATATCATAGCACTCCAAGACACAACATCCTTCTCCGGCATGGATCCAAACAAAACCTCAGCCTCTCCAATCGAACCACACCTCAAGTACCCAGAAATCATCGAGTTCCACGATATCAAATCCAAAACAACACCATCATCAAAAATCCTCCTTGCATCCACCACCTCCCCACAACTTGAGTACAAATGAATCAACGCATTCTTAAGACTCACATAATTCCCCACCCCAACTTTCCCCGCCAAACCATGCACCAACCTCCCCATCCGAACATCCAAAATCCTCGAACACGCCGACAAAACACTCACCACAACCACCTCATCGACCACCACCCCACACACCCTCATCTCCCCAAACAAAACCAAGGCCTCCCAACACATCCCATTCTTCTCATAACAACCCAGCATGGCACTCCACGACACCATATCCACACCCCCCACCTCATCAAAAACCCGCCTCGCCTTCTCCACACACCCCACCCTTCCAAACATGACAATCATAGAGTTGCAAGCAATCACATTCCTCTCCGGCATTCCCTCAAACACGCGCTCCGCCTCCTCCACATCAGCCGCCTGGACCCACCCCGCCAAAAGAGTGTTCCACGAAACCAAATCCAGCACAGGACTTTCATCAAACACCTTGCGCGCACTCTCCATGCTCCCACAAACCGCGTAGAAGCTAATCAGCGTGTTGCGGACGTAGAGGTCGCGGTGAAAGCCGAACCTGACAACATGCGCGTGGAGCTGCATTCCCTCGAATTCCGAGACTCGTTTGGCGCAGCATTGGAGGAGAATGGGGTGGGTGAAGTGGTCGGGGCGAGATGCGTGGGTGGCAAGGAAGAGGGTGTAGAGGGAGAGAGCGTGGTGAGGGTGAGCGTGCAGGTGGGCGCGCATTATGGTGTTCCATGTGAAGGCGTTGGGGTTGGGGAGGTGGTGGAAGACGCGGAGGGTGTAGTGGAAGGGAATGAGAGGGGTGTGGGAAGAAAAGTTTATGAGTCTGCTTCCGGCGTATGGGTCCGTTATGAGGCCCGTCAGGATTGTTTGGGAGAGGAGTTGTTTGAAGTGGCTCAGGGAGTGGCAACGCTGCAACAACGCTTCCACCGTCGATAGCTTCATCATTCGGTGTCAAAGTCGTGCATCTTCTTCGCTCCTCTCAAACTCAACTTCGTCTTTGGTCATCCCAAACAAAACAATGCACACATGCTGTCAAAGAAATAAGTCACAATGGCCATAATTTATATGGAAAAAAATTATAAAAAAAAAAGAGTTCTGTTTGGGTGGTACCAAGCATCATCAAGGCAAAGGTTTCTTGCCTAGACGACGGGGGTGCTAGTGAGGTGACATCATGCATGAGTCAAATAGTCTCTCTGCATCATATGAGGTTGGGCATGAATTCTGCTATGTCAAGCATGAGGTCTCAGGGGTTTCCTACCTCAGCCATGTTGAATGCAAGTTGAGTGGTGTTGGATGTGGATAAGGTAGAGAGTTCCTTGCCTTAATGGCATCAAACGCCAGGTAAGTTGTGCTGAGCATGAGTTGTGTTGATGACACATGTTTGATGAATGATTTGGTAAACATGAATATAGTATTTGAGTTTATTACATGTGGTATGATGTATGATGAATGTTGAGTTTATATATATTAATCTATGATTATATATATATATATGTGTGTGTGTGTGTGTTATGATGTATTATGGTGATGAGCATTAATATGCAATGTGTAATTGATATGCTATAAATTGCATGGTTAGAGTGTTAAATGAGTATTGACATGCTATTATTGAATAAGTCATTGAGCATAATGCTAGTCTTGGATAATATATGTAGCATTGGTATGCTAATTATGATTGGTGTAAATTATCTCTATATGCATTGACTTGAGGTAATGTATATAAATGATGTATGTTGAGGTGTTTATGCCGAGAATGTTGTAGACATTAATGTAAGATAATTATGTCTCCTATGAAAGACATGTGACGAATAAAGAAACTAATAAATAAATAATTAGGGACTAAATTATAAATAAGCTTAATAGATCAATTTTGAGAATAATTATTATTTGATGGGAATAACAATCTTTAAGGGGTTATAAATACCCAATAATGTGAAACAAGGTCCACATCTCTAGTAGAAAGTATTCTTTCAAACCTAGTCATCATGGAAGATAGAGAGAGTATAAAGAAGAGTTAAAGAGAGTGAAATCTTGATTCTTTTTTCTTCTTAAAAGGACCAAAGTGCTCTAAGGATTAAAGGAGACTTTCATAATGGAGAAAGGTACACATTATTCCTTATTATTATGTGAGAATCATGAATTTCAAAGATCCTTTTAATTTTCTATAATTGATAGTATTAGAAAATTATAACTCTTACAATTAAAACATGTTAATTGGCTTAAAATTAGAGGAGAAGGTATTGTTTTAAAAGTTGAAAATCCTACATAGAGAATCTTGTTTTGGCGCTCTAGGAGACCAATTATTAAAAACCCTCCTTGAGTAGATGTAAAACTATTGGAGTAGATTTTGATGAGTCTCCTATAGGTCCTTAGTTAATATTGTTAAGCCAGACGAAGACGAAAACAATTCCCAGCAAGGTTTTGAATGAGACAAATATAATACGTATTGTTATTTCTAACAAGTGTGTTAGTGTTTCAGATATAAGTACAAGCAAGTTGATATGCATCTATACCAGGACCAAGAGACATGAGCCAAGCACTGGATAAAGGCTAAGCAAACGAAGGGAATACATCAGACGAAGACAACAAACACAGACACAAAAGAAATAAAGAAAAAGGACATGAGCAACCAAGATGATGGACAAAACTAAGTTAATACACAAAGGAAGAACAAGAAAAAGGGATTGCGCCTGAGGAAACAACGAGACGAACTACCAAGCATACATCCTCCTAGAAAAACACATGAAGACATCAAAATAGAAGAAGAAAGATAAAAAAATAGGCGAGCACTTATCCACAAATCAAAACTGCATATGTCAGAGCAAGTACACATACTAGTCAGTAAAGGACAACCAGTTAGCAAAAGAACAACACCTTCATCGCTACAATATCAAGAAAGTACATAGATATCTTAATGCCAGTCATAGAAGCAAACAAATGGTACAAAAGACCTCGTGAAGCACCGATTAAGCAAGCAAACATTTAATGCAAGATCAAAGACATTAAATGCAACAATCCACGAAGATTGTACAAACTAGATAAAAGAATTAGATGATGGCTAGTCAAGCATCAAAACAAAGTCTGCTCACGGACGGAAGAGGACTACCACCAGAATGAGACACTGAAGTATCAGACGAAGCTTATAAAGAATAGTCAAGGCAAGACACGGACCAGACAAGTCGAGACAGATGAAGCAAATGACATAGGAAACCGAGCGTCAAAAGATGAATAGTTGGAACACGAATATGCGCCAGATGATCACAAAATATCCAGACAAAGTTGTGTCAAGTGCAACTGTTCTAAAGCACAGATCAGACGAGGCATACGTCTAAGGTCAAAATAAAGCCAATCGTGCATCAAGGCCAAGAGCAGCACAGACTAAAAGATACTTTGGACAAAGACAAGTCTATCTGTAATGCTGACCAGACCATATAAGATGTCAAAACATCAACGACAAATACTCAGATGGAGAACAAGACGTGAGACGCAGACGAAGATTGCTACGCAATCACTTATCTAGTCTCAAGAGATTACTCAAAGCATCGTCTACGATCACATAAGTGTTCTCAACGTAATAGCGTTATTAAAAGAAGAAACGAAGAAGAAGAGAAGCATGCAAAAGCAGAGCATGCATGTGTCATAAAAAGTGCATTACTTTTTCAGAAAAGGACAACGACTATATTGCTGCATGACCAAAAAAGACAAATAATTTCGATAAAGTCAAACACTGCTGGCAACAGGACAAAGAAGAATACACGCAATGTCTAAGAATAGGAAGCAACATTTAATGCAAGACCAAATGCATTAAATGAAAGGATCAAACTAGTCATGAACGACTATATTAGCTTCAACGGATATATGCAACGGGCAAATTTTATAGGCCTATAAGTATGCAATAACATCAAACCGGAAAAGGCTGGCAAGAAGCAACGAAGGGATAACCATAGGCTTTGCCCTAGGCTTTTTGATAAGAAGGAAAAGAGTGATATCAAGCCCACAAGACAGAGAAACCTAAGATGAGTGTTCATAGCCATATGTACGATGTAATATTGTATTAGTATCTCAGTAGTCTAAGGTGTTCTAAATGTATCTTAGAAAAGAAACCTTAGTGAGTGTTGTAAACCTATGTATCCTCTCTATGAGAGTAATCCAAACACTCAAACACAAGACTAAGGTAACAAATCTTAGTGAGTGTAGAAAATTTCCAATCCTCTCTATGAGAGTCATGTATGCACTTAAGCCAAAGCACAAATCTATCATGTGTAAAGCCTGAAGAGGCTAGGGCAAGAATACTTATAAAGCCCGGAGGGGCTTGTCAAAGAATACTCACTAAGAGCCAGAAGTGATTGAACAAAGAATACTAGTGCCGATGAGTGAAGTTGGCGGGCTAGGAGTGGTCGATAATACTTGGACCAGGAGTAGTTCTGACCTGGGTGGTCTATAATACTCACTGCTAGCCAGAAGTGGCTGAAAAGAATATACTAGCGTTGGTGAGTGAAGCCAACATGCTAGGAGTGGTCGAGAATACTTGGGGAACTAGAAGTGGTTTAAGAATACTAGCGCTGGTGAGTGAAGATGGCGGGCTAGGAGTGGTCGAGAATACTTGGGGAACCAGAAGTGGTTTAAGAATACTAGCACTGGTGAGTGAAGATGGCGGGCCAGGAGTGCTCGAGAATACTTGTTGAACCAGAAGTGATTTAAGAATACTAGCGCTGGTGAGTGAAGCTGGCGGGCTAGGAGTGGATGATAATACTCAAATGTTCTTCATTTTGATATCAAGTGGAACCCTTAAGTTGAAAGAGACTGGATATAGTTTAGTTGAGCGAACCAGTATAAAATGATTGTCTTGCTTTTCTTGTTTAACTAGGAACAAATCTTTCTTACTGATTAAATATTTGTAAAAGACTTCGTCCAATATTTACATATCGTTAAAATCATTTTTCAGACGAAGACGCAATTACGCTTAATAGATATATTACACTGAAAAGCTTTATCTTCTGCTTGTCTTTAAACGAAACTATCTTGAAAAGGAAATTTAATAACTTCAATAATTATTAGGCTTAATTACACTTTTGGTCCTCCTAATTTAGTGTAGGAGCAATTTTGGTCCTCATAATTTGAATTGCTTAATTTTGGTCCATAAATTCAAATAATGGGCAATTTTAGTCCCACAAACAATTTACCATCCAAAATTTAACGGACGTTAATGATCTAGATTTTATGCTAAATAAACATTAATTATATATTATTTAATTTCTTACGTGTCAAATTATTTAATTTTCAAATTTTAAAAATTTTAAATTCAAATTTGTTTTCTCATCCTCCGTACCCTTCCTTTTGTTTCTTCACTAGCACCATCGCCAGCAACGTCGTGTACTCCTCCAGCACCTCCGCCACGATCGCCACCAGTATCATCTCTTTCCAACAATTACTACGAGAATTTTTTACTGAAATAATTTTTTTTAAAAAAATTTTTGCCAAAACAACACCTGTTCCAATTTATTTACAAAAGTAGCACCTTTTACTATTCATGCTCAGAGTTCGATTCCCGGGGAACCGAATTATGAGTAATGTTTAAATTTTTTTTCTTTTCTATTTATAGTCCAGGTTGTGTGTTAATGTTGCAACTGGAATGACCCATTTTCCAAGCAGAACGGGTCGTTCTGCTTGCATGCGTAGTCTGTTAATTTTGAAATGAGAACGTCCAAGCAGAACGACCCGTTTTGATCCATTCGTCATGTGTGTATTTTTGCATCCGGAACGGCCCGTTCTAAAAGGAGAACGGGCTGTTATGCAAGTACTGCATGGAGAACGGGCCGTGCTGAAAGGAAAATGGGTTGTTCTAGATCCAGTTTTACGCCATGCTTAGATCTAAAAAGCAAAAAAAAAAAATTAAAAAAAAAATTATTTTAGTGAAAAATTCTCACTGCCATTGATATCAATACCCATTTCATTTTATTTTCAATGTTATTTGAATTTAAAATATTTAAAATTTGAATATTAAATAATTTGACACGTAAGAAATTAAATGATATATAATTAATTTTTATTTAGCATAAAATTTACATCATTAACGTTTGTTAAATTTTGGATGGTAAATTATTTGTGGGACTAAAATTGCCCGTTATTTAAATTTATGGACCAAAATTAAGCAATTCAAATTATGAGGACCAAAATTACTCCTACACTAAATTAGGAGGACCAAAAGCGCAATTAAGCCTAATTATTATTATAAAACATTTTCCTCAGCATACGATAAACCCTTCATATGCAATGACTTTGTGTTAACCAAATTCTGCCTAACCGTCTGATATTCGAAAGTGCATTGGACGAAGTATATTATTCTTGCGAAAATGATTTCAAAATTCCTTTGTACACACACACATATTCAACCCCCCTTCTATGTGTTTTTCCGCTAACTTCAA